GGTCTTCCCTCCTCTCCTGTGGAGTTTTCCTCCTCTGCCACTCACAAGCTTCCGCTCCTGGTTGCTGGGCGGCCCCGCTCCCGCCAGAGGCTCTCCGGCCCGCCTGGCTTGTTTATTTACAGTCCGGGAAGGATTCTTGTAGTGGTGGCTTGATGGTCATATATTTCTTTAGATTTTTATTGTTCATTTATTTTGACATGATAGTTTGCTGGTAGACGTATCCTACGGCTTGAAGTTATTTTCATTCAGTGCCTGAAGGACCTCACTGCATGCTCTTGCTTGTTAAATGTTTCTGTTGAGAAGTGCTGTGATTTTGATGAGTTTAACCTTTGTATGTTATTGTTTTTTCTCTCTTATGCCTGCAATATTCTTTCTTTAGTCTGTGTTATTGTTTAATGATATATGTCGGTGGGTAATTCTATTTTGGTCAGGTCTGTTTGGTGTACTAGAGGCTTCCTGTACCTGAATGGGCATAGTTTTCTCTAGATTTGGGAAATTTTCTGTTATTATTTTGTTGAATATATTACGCATTCCTTTTGCTTGCACTCTTCTCCTTCTTCAATGCTCCTGATTCTCAGGTTGGTCTTTTCAGGAGTCAGTGAGTTCTTAGCATTTCTTTCACAGGTCTTGAGTTGTTTAACTAATAGTTCTTCAGTTTTCCTTTAATTGCCATTTCATCTTCAGTTCTGAGATTCTGTCTTTGTTGTTCTATTCTGCTGGGATGTGGCTACCATTTTGTTTTGTATTTCTGTTTCATTCTTTTTTCTGAGGTTTTCCATATCGTGGGTTACTTCCTCTTTAATATTGTCAATTTTCATCCTTAATTCATTTATCTCTCTGTTTATGGTGATTCCTGTTTCAGTTTGGTGTTTATTTAGGGACTCTTATGATTTCATTTATTTGTTTCTGTGTTTTCTACATTCTTTATTTTTGTTGTCTTGGAATTTCTTGAGTACCTCCTGTATGTTTTGGTTGACCATGTCTAGTAACATCTCTGTGAAATTCTCAGTGACTACTTGCAGTATTTCTTCTTTAGAATGTTCTTGTGGGCTTCGTTGGGTTCCTTGGTATAGTTTGTTTTGTTGGAGTCTGGGCCTGGGTATCCGTTTTCTTCATTTTGCTTTAAATCCTGTACTACTTTATATTTGGGGGGGGAGAATTGTTTCCATCCCTTTTTCGTCTACTCATATTTCCACTGGGTACCATTTCTGTCCCTGGACTATGTGTTATTTAGTATTAGCTGGATTACAATATTAATACTAACAAAACCAAGAGAGAAGGAGAAAGAGAAGGAAAGATAAAAGAAATAAGAGGGAAAAAAAGTGAAAAAATGGACAGATGGTGGGTGATCAAACAGCAAACCAGACAGCCAAACCCTTAAAGTAGGGAGAAAAAGAAAAAAGAAAAAAATCACCAGTTCTGGAAGAGTAGAATTGCAGTCTTAATTGTTCTAATATTACTCCTTTAGCTTCCAGTCCTTTCTATCTGAGTCTCAGGCAGGATTGGAGAGCTCCTGTGGTGGCCTGAGCAGGAGCCTGGTGGAGCAGTTATCTGGCAATCTTGTAGAGCTGAGGCCCGGTGCAGCCCAAGGGGTGGGGATCCTGGCAGGGCATGGATCTGGTCATCCCATATGGAGCTGGGGCCCGGCAGGGCCTGAGAGGCAGGAGTCCCATGGGGCAGGGATACTGGCAAAGCATGGATCCAGCACAGAGCTGGGGCTGGTGCAGCCAAGGGGCAGGGATCCCGGCAGGGTAGGGATAAGGCTGTCTCACATTGAGCTGGTGCCTGGCAGGGTGGGAAATCTGATATTTTTAAAAATATATTATGGATCCCTTTTGCATGGATCTCTTTGCATTCTTTAATACCCATAATTCTCAGGTTTGGTCTTTTGATAGAGTCAGTGAGCTCTTGCATAGTCCTTTCACAGCTCTTGAATTGTTTGACCAACATGTCTTCAGTTTTTCCTTTAATTTCTATTTTATCTTTGAGCTCTGAGATTCTGTCTTCCACTTGCTCTAGTCTACTGGAGTGGCTTTCCATTGTGTTTTTTATTTGACTAAAGGGACTTCTTATTTCCAAAATTTCTGATTGATTCTTTTTTCTGAGATTTTCCATATCTTTGTTCAACTCCTCTTTCATATCTTGTGTTGTCTTCTTTATTTCATTTATATCTTTTTTATACTCTCCTTTGTTTCACTTTGATGTTTGTGGAAGTCCTGTCTGAGTTCATTTAATTGTTTCCATGTCTTCTCAAGTTTTTATTTGTGGTATCTTGATATTTCTTCAGTTCATATTTTACCTTCTGGTTACCTGTGTCTTGTAGCTTCTCCATGAATTTCTCTATGATTTCATACATGATTTCCATCTTGAGAGATTTTTTGTGGGTATCCCTGAGCTCATTGGTGATGTATCAATGATCTGTTGGGGTCAGGAACTGGATATTCATTGAATTTATTTCCCAGTATATCCTCTATCAATTGGTCTCTTGAGAAGTGCTGTTTCCTTGCTTTCTTCTTCTATCTGTGCTTGTAATTGTTGCTGTGCAACTATGTTCTTGATTGGCTAGTTGGTGGTTTTAATTGCCTTTTTTTTTCCCTTGATTTAATTTTGTGTCATGACTGGCTTAGTTGTTAGCTCGGTTGATGTGCTATTTTTATCCCTGGCCTGGAAGAGTAAATTAGCAATAACAAATTAACAGGTTCAATGCCAGACCAGTTGTTTACATGTTACATAGAAAACCCCTTGGTGATAATATCTATAAACACTGGGAGTTGGAGGGTAATTGTTGTTTGGCTAGAGATAGAAACTTGGGTAATTATTAAAGATGGTGATAAATGAGGAGATGGATGGGAGTGGAGTGAGTGGGGGTAGAGGTGTGGGAGCTGCTGGATTTTGGGACCCATGTGTGTGTTTGGGTTTAGTTCCAATGTTGTAGTGGAGGGTGCTTGTGTCAGGAATTGCAGATGGCTGGGGATGTGTATGGTTGGTACAGTAGGCAAATCTGCAGGTGGTAAATGTGTAGGAGGGAAGTGCAATGTGGTGACAGGTTGGGTAAGGTGAAGTGGGGGAGGCAGTCAGTGAAGAGAGTGGATGAAAAGGGACAGAAACAGTAGTTGGGCAGATAACAATGGTGTGTAGCACAAGAAAAGGAGAGAAAGTGAAGGGGGATAGAATAGTAATAAGTAAATAGTAATAGTAAAATTAATAGTACTAAAAATAAAAATGGGGGAAACTAAGAAAAAAACCCAGCTACATCAACAACTAAAAGTTCAATCAGTTTGGAAATAGATCTAGATTTATTCCTTTGACATCCAATCCTGGTATTGGCGCTATGTGAGGAAGGGTGCTGCCCCTCTTGTGGGACAGTTTGAGGGGGAGATGGATGGAGGAATTTTCCCCCCTGCTTTCCTTGATCTTATAGACGTCTGTTATAAGCAAGAGCTCTGAAGTGGTCTCACAGATGAATGGGATATAGCAGTATTTGGCTCCTTCTGACCACAAGGCAAGTTGCAACTGGGACCTGTGTTACCTCACTACCAGTTTGTGCAATTGTTGTTTCCACCAGGTGACAGCTACATTGCCCTACAGTTGCAACTCTGGCTGGTCACCTCCTCTCCCAGCAAGATGGAGCAATTCAGTTTTAAGCATTGTTCTCAGTCCCATGAGAATAGTTCAGTAATCCACCATGCCCCTGCTTTGGGAGGTTGGCTTATCACCCCACTCCCTCTCTCAGTGCTTGTTTCTCACTGAGAGTTTGGCTCCTTGCCCTACCCCTGTTCTCCGAGATTGGTTCCACCTCACCCACACTGTCAGTGGTACATTACAATTCATTCTTTATGATTCTCAGTTTTGTTCATGGGGGGCTCAATCTGCCCATGAGCTGGGCTGGATTATGTTCCCAGGGGATGGGTGGGGGACTTGCATGTGGTGTGTGATGCTCACCTTTTGGGTTTACAGATTTATGCAAGTAGCATTGAAACTGGTGGGCAGGGAGAAATGGTGTACCACTTTTCTCAAGCCAGACACTTACTGGGACTTGGTTCAACTAGGTGGGGCATAGGTAGGCTTTCCACAGGTTAGGAGTCCAGTATATCTTGGAGTTGGGAACTGTTCTATGCTCTATCTTCTGCTTTTTCAAAAAGAAAGAAGAAAAGAAAGAAAGAGAGAGAGAGAGAGAGAGAGAGAGAGAGAGAGAGAGAGAGAGAGAAAGAAAGAAAGAAAGAAAGAAAGAAAGAAAGAAAGAAAGAAAGAAAGAAAGAAAGAAAGAAAGAAAGAAAGAAAGGAAAGAAAGAAAGAAGGGAGAAATTCCCAGGGGACTTTTCCCCAAGGCAGGCATGCCCTACTGCTGTGACAAACAGGGATTTCCCTGGCTGTTAGGTACAATTAAAAGCTGTTTTAAAGGTTTATGTGCACCTACTGTGTTGGCAAATATTAAATTGGCTGGAAACAATCAGCATTACCCAAGTGTAGTTCCCACATTTTAAAGTGGTTTCTAAAATCATGGAGTTCAGAAATTCTGATTCCCTATTCTATCCACTGTCTTGGATTTCCTTAAATTTATTTTTAAGGGATGAATTACTTTTTATCAAGAATCTTCTCTGTTCTGTAAGAAGCCATCACCTTTTAACCATCCTTCCTTTGTTCTGACATTCACCTCTATAATTCTGCCTTCCTTGTCTACCTTCAGCTCTACCTAATCCTTGATTGAACTGTCAAATCTCCTTGAATACACTGTATTTACAGTCAGTGAAGACTTCCAATTTTTGCCATATTTCTGTCCCATATCCCTCATTCTTATATACTACCCAGGCTAATACTAACTGTTGGAAGGCTAAGGTCCTAGATCCTGAATTCCCAGGAGTTTTATAAAGGTTCACATGTCTAGAACTAATTCCTGATATCTTGCCCCACCTGTCTGAGGTTTATCATTAACCCAGTGCTTATATAAAAAAGGAAGCAGACTTGGGATGGGTGCAGAACCACCTGCAGCCATGGCTAGCACATTAAACCCCAACACTGCAACTGGGACTCCGGAGCCTGCTGAAATGTCAGCTCGCATCCAAAATGCTGCTGACATCTCTGTCATTGTCATCTATTTCATACTTGTGATGGCTGTTGGGCTGTGGGTAGGTGGGAGACCAACAACTTTTGAGGGTGGTCATCAGGGTGAGGGAAAGTGTCTTATGGTGGGAGAGGTCTAGCATGACAAACTGAGACAACATAGGAATTTTCAAAAATGTCTTTCTTAACCTCTATGAATCATTTTCTTGTGTGTGACATAAATAATTTTTGAACTTAGTGAATTTTTCAGAAGGTAATCCCATCACTTGAACAGAGACACAGTGGGAAAACTATAGGCTTATTCTGTTTAATGCTTCAGTACTTGGCAAAATGAACAAAAACATTTTTATTATCTCATTTTCTTCATTTTTGTTCATTTTCTAACCTTGTGAGTTGGACACTTAAATCATTTGTGTTCCTTCATTCTAGTTAGCAATGAATTGAATGTTCTGAATTTTCATCAAAGCACAGCATTAGTGATAAATCAGTGTTTGCATAAGTGAAAAATAATAGCAGCTTTGAATTTGTATAAAACTCGGATTTTGAGGTCAATTGAAGTTTCTAGAAGATATTTCTCTCTGTGGGAATTTTGAAAAGTCACTACTTCAGCATTCTGCACAGAGCAACTGTAGCATCATGGGTGTCTTTAATCCACCTGCTATTGTTTGACCTTTACAAGTCTCTCTTTCTGCTCAGGCAATGCTGAAGACCAACCGAGGCACAGTTGGAGGGTTCTTCCTAGCTGGTCAAGAGATGTCCTGGTTTCCAGTAAGTATGTGGTGTGTCTGTGTGTGTGTGTGTGTGTGTGTAAGAACGAATAAAGAAAGCATTGGGGACATTAATTATTTGATGCACAGTTTTCCACTTACTACTCTCTTTAAAACTGCTGATTTTATGCCTGTGTCCTATGATTCAAAAATTGTCACCAGTTGAGAAATGCTTTAGCAAAATGGCAATTAAGGGCCCCAAGTTGGTTTCCACTCATATTCTTTTCTTAGATCATCTTCAACAACCTTCTGCTGGGGCTTCTTACTGGCTCCACAGATTCCTTCTTGGCTCTCAATCCTGCTGAGCTAACACTGCTCCTTTTGTCTAGATTACTGTCCAATCCACTCTCTTCCTTCAGTGTCCATCTCACTATCAGACCACTCCAGCCCTGCCATATATGTCTATCTACTTATTATATTCCATGCATTTAATGATAGTGGATTGTGTTCCCTATGATAGTGTTTATGGTAAGACCTCTTTGACTTTTGATCAGTTGATGCTGTCCTTTCTGGGTTTTTAATATGAGGATCCCTGGGCCAGATTTCTATTCAATTGGTAATGGAATAGAACTCTCTAAACTTTGAGAGTTTCTGAATTGAGTTGTGTATGTAGCAAGTCCTCAGTAAATGATTCCTTCACAGATCTGCTTATACTTATGAAAACAATAAAAGAAAATGGAGGTTAGAAATTGATCTGGACAGGATAATTAAAGCAGACCAACTGAAAATAGATTTCTATTTGGGACATCCAATCAGACATTGCATTTTGTGGTACTGTCTTGTGAAACATGCAAGTTTAAAATCATCACAAGGTCACAAACAAACTCAATCTTTCCCTAGTAGCTGAAGAGACCAAGTGATTTTTCAAAGACTAAAAATATCAAAATAGAAGAGGCACCATGGGGTCCCAGACCCCAATTCTATTCTGTCAGGTCTGGTACTTATCCGTGCCCAGTCAAGAGATCTCTCTTGACCACCGAGTCTTAAGAACCACAGACAATATGGTGGAAATGGAAATGAGTGAGAAAAATGTCTCATGCTGTGAGGTTGAGGAGGAGTTCCCTCCTTCTGAATATGAGGTCCTTGAGGTTAATTTGATGGGCATCTGATGGGGGATTTGGCAGTCCTTGACCAACTTAGGACTCAACTCAGAGCATATTGACTGACACATTAATGTACTCCTGAGTAATTAATTAATAAACATTATTCTGAAAGATATCTTAAGTATTTTAGTACTAACAGGTTATACAATCTTTTCAACCACACAATCTTTCCTTGCAATATAAAACTACCTATAATCAATATGTAAAACCAGTGAGCATGGTTTCACTCCAGTAAAAGTACTTATGGATGTGAAATTTACATTTCACATAATTTCACATTTTTATATTTCACAATACTGAATCATGCCTTAGATTTTTTTCAAAACATTTTTGGTTATTCAAAAAAATTTATAAACATTCTTCACTTATAGTCCACATGAAAAGTGGTGATGCACTGGATTTAGCCCAAGGGACATAGTCTGCTGGATCAGGCTCTAAGGAATAGAGATTGTGCCATCTCAACATCTATCGATTTTCAAGAAGTCTGATTTGGACCTTTTCTCTCTAACCATAGTCATCTCTCTTGCATTCCAGATGGGAGCCTCTCTCTTTGCGAGTAACATCGGAAGTAACCACTTCGTGGGCATAGCTGGAACAGGAGCATCTTCAGGAATTGCTGCTGGAGCAAATGAATGGAATGTAAGTGATATCAAAGCTGTTTACTCCAAATAGGAGCAATATTAAGATATTTTAATCCAACCTGTATCCATTTTTTTCTGGGACTTCATATTGAATGCTGTCCTGTTTGGTTTGATTTTTATTTTTCCTTCTCCTAGTCTACTTTTTCGTTGACCTTCAGCATCTCTGTAGCCACATTCTGCCTGAGCCATTCCAGCCTCATTATTACTGACTACTGAGCTTTTTCTTAAATTATCATTCCTATCAGGAATGTAATTTCTATATCATTTAATTCCCACTTTGATATGGCCTCCTTGACAATTTGAACTCTCAGTTTTTTCTCTCCTCTCTGGATACTATGTGTCCATCTCTGTCCATGAGCTAGATAAAGGGAATTTTTTAGTGTAGATGCAATCATAGATGCATAGGGAGAAACAAACAATCTCTCACTACAGTGTAGAGAGGCTGAAGAGAGAATCGTGCAACTGTATTGGAAAAATCATACCCTGACTAAACAGAATTGGAGACTGGGAGTATGTGGTGCTATTTCTGTCCCTAAATCCATCATAGAGAATGAGTAAGGCTTAGCACAAGACAAGGTAACTTGAAGATGATGATGCTAGAATGGTGAGCAGAAACTATCCATGTGGGGCCTGACACAGGCAGTATTTGTGGAGTGGAGTTAGAATGCTTTGAGAGATAATAGAATATGTCTTCTCTTGCATTCATACCATCCTACCACCTATCACATGACTGGGAATGTGGGGAGAGTGTTATAAATATTTCTTGAGTAGCCTGAGGTTTTCTATCCGTTTATGTGATCCTTCAGAGTGTTTTCATGTACATGTGCTCAAATATCACTACAAAAATGTTTCAATGGAAAATCCCTGAATGGATTCAGGAAGTGCCTTTCAGTCATCACAAATCTCTTTGCTCTTCTCCTTTTAAGACTTTGCCCCCAATTTTTCTTTAGTAATATTAGGGACTCCAGTACATACCCAGCCTTCAGATATGTGCAATGGCCAAAGTTTTGTTTTGATAGCACCATGGACTCTACCTCTAGAGTCACCATCAGAATGACCTTTGCCCCACATGGGTGTGATTACCAGGTTGAAGATATCTCAGCTGTTTTTTCTCAGCCTGTGAGGTGAACCTCTATGATTTTAGTTGTTTCTCCTATCAGATATGAATAATAGCTTATGTTTCCTCACTTGGTTGTTAGAGCACAATTAGTAATATATGTGAAAAGCCTGTCAATGTTACATATTAATGATAGATACATTCTCATCATTGCTTTATGTGGAAAGCTAAAATGAGCATTGAGTACATTCTTACATCTTAAATTTTATTGCTGATAGCTTAATCCATTCAAGAATAATACTTGCACTTCCTGCCATTCAAGAATAATACTTTGTGGCAAGGATTTGTGGTCTTACAGTGGCCCACCTGAGCTCTGATCTATTATGTTCTGACCATCTTTCACCACACATCTCAAAAAGCCTCAGAAAATGGTGTTTTCTAAATCATACAAAGACAAGAATGAACGTCACAGTCGTCTGAGGATCATAACCATTTAAATGGCATGGGATGTAAGAAAATTTTTATTCAGACTCAGAGCTCTGATACATCCCAGAAGCCAAGCCCCTTTACCCTCACACGGTTTTATTTATTTCTTACAGGCGTTGGTGCTGGTGCTCATTCTAGGATGGGTCTTTGTCCCTATCTACATCAAGGCAGGGGTGAGTATCCACAGGTATTTAAAGTGTATCTTCAGGCATTCTTTTATTCACTAACTTTTCTTTTAACAATGAAACATGGATATTCAGCTTTCACTTGATCTATGGATAAGAAAACAGGAGAGGCAAAAAAATGTTCCTTGCATAGAGAGTCTCCCAGTGTAGACTATGGCTGCATCCAGTGTGAAACCTGTAGCTGCCCTGCATAATGACGACTGTGGCAGTACAGCACCCCTGAATCTGGGAGCATCTACGTCCTTCAAGGAAAGCTTCTCAGAGTGACCTGGCTTCATCTGTGAGGGACACATGTCACCTCTGTAGTAGAAAAGTCAGATCTGAGAGAGTTAGAGAAAACGAACAAGAGATGTCAATCATGAGAGGACTTGTAGTGTGGAGAAGCATGGTGGGAGGCAGAGGTGACTCTGTGAGTACAGGTGGGGTGCAATAGGGAAAGTTTTATGTGTCCTGTACCCTCCTGGAAATGGGCACCCTCAGCTTTCAGGCACTCAAGGTTCATAACCAGATTCATGTTTTAGGGAACTCTGCTCTGACAGCTGAGAGGAAAGTGGTCTTGAGCAGATGGTCCATGGAAGGAAAGAAATGAAGAAGTTTACAAAAATAATTCATGATACTATAAGAAGGAAAAAGAAAGGTAGGGGACTACTTCTTAGACCAAGATGAAGGCTTGATGGCAAATTAAGGTGAAAGAAGTGGAAAGGGAAGCAGTGTGAGCAGCTCTTAAGAGTTGAAACCCAAGGGGCTTGAAGCATGAGGTCTCCATTAGGGAACAGGAAATTCTAGAAGGGAGCCAAACCATGGATGAAAAGAAAACACTGAATTCACTGTGGAAATGGTGAGTAATTCATGCCTTTAGGACTCTTTTCATTTGTTCATTTTTTTTGCTACAGCAAAATACTTGTAGAATATTTTTTCTTTCTTATTATAAAAAAAAGGGGTTTATTTAGCTCACAGTACTGGAGGTTAAACAGCATGTTACAGCATGTACTTAACTCTGACTATGGCCACCGCTGCATCACAATATGGTGAGGAAGCAGAAATAGAAATGATTGCAGGAAGAAGGAAACTAGCACGTGCAGTGGCCTTGCTTTAAACACCCACTCGATCAAGAGCCCAGACCCATGAGAATGTCATTAATCCATTATGGAGGTGAAGCCCCCATTACCTAAATGCCTTCTACTAGTGCACACCTCTTAATTCCAGACTGTGAACCAAAATTGATATTCATGAGTATTTTGGTTGAAGAACCATATTCAAACAACAGCATTCTGTAAAAAATTGTGTCTATTTCACAATATAAAAATTGTTCATTCAAAGGCAACAGTCTCAAAGTCTTAACTCATTCCAGCATCAGCTTAAAGTCCAAGTCCAAAGTCACATCTGAGACTCAATGGAAACTCCTTGTAGTTGTAAGGCCTGTAAAATCAAAAAAAGTTCCTCTACTTTCAAGGTACACTGGTAGGACAGGGATAAGAGAAACATTTGTATTCCAAAAAGGAGAAATAACACCACTACAAAAGAGATCACAAGCCCCTAACAACACCAAAACACAACAGAGCAAATATTAAATCTGAAACCTCCTTATCAGGCATCCTGTGCTGACTTGGGTAGGTAGTGAGCCCTAAGGCCTTGGGAAGTCCCACTCCCATAATTTTCTAAAGAATTGGTTGGAGTTCCACAAGGCATTGTCCCATTGATCACTCTGGCAACTTCTCCCTGGTACTTCTGTGTGGTCTCTAAAGCTGTCCTTTGATGTTTCAGTGTAAATCTCGATTACTCCATAACCCTTTGGTTCTGTTTGATACCTTTGGTGTAAGCATCATATGGATGCCACTAAAGTCTACATTTGTTCTCTTTGGAATGGAAACATAAAATGTGGTTGGTCCCACTTAAGCCACTCCTGTGCTGCCAGAGCACTGCACAAGTTGTGTGGAGAAGAGTCTTGAGTTGGCCCTGGGCACCAAGCTTATAGAAAATATCCTAAGTCAATACTTCCTAGGCCTCTGGGACTCATATGGAAGGGACAACTTCAAAGTCTTCAAAGACACCACTGACACCTTCTTCCCATTTTGCCTTTCTGATCCCTACAGTTGCTAGACCACCACCTTACACACCTTTTCTTAATAATTGTCATGGTTAACCTGAAAATTTTCTGGATAATTCTGCTCTGTTTTTCTATTAATTATAAATTCTACTCTTTTAGACCACAGCATTGATGTGATACAAAGTCATATACATAATGTCATACTAAAGTAATAAAAGCCACAGTAGATATTAAATTATCTCCAAGTAGATAATTCAATTCTCTTCTCAAAAAGATAATCCTGTATGTGCCTATATGTGTAAGTTATTCAACTATCAATTTATTGTGCAGCTCTAATTGTGGTTCATTATTTGCAAGTAATATTAATGTTAATGGTTGCAATACTACTGTGAAAATAATGAAAATCATTTGTTGCTTGTCTATAAGACATTTGGTGATGTTGTAAGTACTTCAGCATTCACATTTAAGACCCACTTGACAAAAGTCAAAATATCTAGTAAAGGTTGGAGCTGGAAGAAATATCAACATAGTCTGCTTTTAGTACAAGGGTTAATTCCCCTTGCTACTCTAACATGGGGCCATGCCTTTCTCACCTGTTTATTTCCAGTGTGTCTTGAATAGTGCTTAACTGGCCATGGGTGCTTAGAAAATACTGGATAATCTGAATTGCTGGGTTCTGAAAATAATTCCTGTTGATGTCTGTCTCTGCAGGTGATGACGATGCCAGAATATCTCAGGAAGCGGTTTGGTGGGAAGCGACTCCAAATCTACCTCTCAGTCCTCTCCCTCATGCAGCTTATGATCCTGCAAATCTCAGTGAGTTCAGTGCCTCCTGGCATGTTAGCTCCAGGAGGTAGATTGATCAGACCAAAGTGCTAAGATCAGGGAGGGGGTGTGTAAGCTTTCAATGGCCTTTATGGTCTGGAGCCATATGGATGTCAACTCACTGGGCTATCTCTATAAAGTATTAAAAAGATCGAGGTGAGTTCAGAAAACCTATATTCATAGAATACAAGACTCTCATGTTCTAAGAACATCCAGAGTGTAATCCATCCTCTCGTTAAGGTTATGAAAAAATTGGTCCAGAAGGAACAAAATGTCTCCCCAACAGACAACCATTCAGTATTGAAGAGGAGGGTTTCTCTTGTCTCTTGTCTTTGCCAGTGCACATTGTGAAATGGAAACTATAAATTAGATTAGAAGAAAAGCAAAGACACCTCTATCAGGGTGCAAACTATGTTTGCAAACTAAGATGAATTCAATTTGAAACTGAAAACTGTTCCATCAAAATAAGAAGAGGACAAGAAAAGTGCAGCTCAGTTTTCTTTAGCAATAAGCAAGGGTTGACTGAGCCCAACAGTGCTATAATGAAGGGAATCAGGCTTGTCACAAATATTGCATGTCTTGAAATATCTGTACCAGAGAAAGACTGATCATGTGGAATCTTTCCAGGCCCATTAGTTATTTCAACAGCACTGAAGATGGCTTCATTTTCAGTTTTTGACATAAAATCTACCCCTGTATGCCAATTTATCCATGTCAGCAAGGCACTAAAGTTTGCAAAGGTATTTTATTTCTATATAACCTTTCTACAATCATTTCAACTTTCATTTTATCAAAATAACTTCATTCTTTCTTAGAGTTAATCAAGGTGAATAGTCTCATTTTCAGTTTATTATACCACACATGTGAGTCAGAAAGAAAGTACTTTCCATTTGTATTAATATGCTGACTTTTCTTAAATTTACCCTATTTTGTCTAAGATTACCACTATAAAGTAGATATCAGAAGTAAATGTGAAAAAATTTGAAAGCTTTTTTAAAAGTTACACTCCTTGGAGATAATCAGGAATGAGGAAGAAAAGAATTTGATGGGAGGGAAGAATGAAGGAAGGAGAAAAAGAAAGAAATGTTTGTTGTTTAAATCATCCAATCTATGGTACTCTGTTACAGTAAGTGGAATTGACTAAAAATGTGTTCTAGTAAAAGAATATATTCATATTGATGAATATTATGAACCACACTAACCTGATTCACTAGATTAGGAGATTAAAAAAGAAAAGCATGTAATAATCTCAGTATTTTCAGATATTTTCTCATTGCTAAGAAGGAAATAAACATAATAGTTTTTCCAGGTCTGACATTCATATAACCATGGGCCGCACTAGACACCAGGACACACTTGGAAGACAAGTAGCAAATCTTATAAAAGATCCAGATAACTATTAACATATTTTTATTTATGTATTTTTTCATTTATTTATATGTGCATACAATGTTTGGGCCATTTTCCCCCCTCCCCCCCATTCCCCCTCACTTCCAGTCAGAAATCGTTCTGCCCTTATCTCTAATTTTGTTGAAGCGAAGACATAAACAATAAGAAAGACAGAGCATTTTTGCGAGTTGAGATAAGGATAGCTACACAAGGAGATTCCTAGCATTGCTTCGATGTACAAATGTGTTATATTCTAAGTTGATTCTTCTTGAACTGACCTGTTCTCTAGTTCCTGGATCCCTTTCTCCTATTGACCTCTATTAACACATATTTAGTGAGGCAAAATTTTTAGAGCCATAGTTGTACCTTCTTGCTTTTTTTTTCTACATAATTCATTGTAAACTTTAAAATTGGCAAGAGAACTGAAAACCTCTAGCCAAAATAAAACAGGGACCAGAATTTCTAATCTACCTGAATCAACCAAAAATCTCAAACCAAAAAGGCAAAATATATGAAACAATGGTTTTGAAGTCAGTGGACATTAGACAATGAAGGACAGTGATCTGGGAAACAAGGAGAGAATGGTTACTGCAGCCTGCTGCCTCAAGAGATATTTCTAGGCCATCCACAGATGATAAAGATGATTTTATTTGTCAACTAGGCTAGGCTTTGGTATCCTGTTGATTGGTCAAACATCAGTCTATGCCTAGCAAATGCAAAGCCCTGAGTTCAAACCCCAGTAAGGGGGATGTGAAGGGGGGAAAAAAAGTTACACTCCTTGGAGATAATCAGGAATAAGGAAGAAAAGAATTTGAAGATTCAGCAGTATATACAGAAAAGAAGAAAAATTTATTTGTTCCTAATATATTAGTGTTGAAAAAATCATCTCACTAAGTTTACAGTGCATGCAGGTGTCTCAATGTTTCTGAGGGGGAAAAACCATCTTTACTTTTGTTTTTCTAATAAGCTGAGTCATGACAATCAAACCAGCTACTAAGATCAGATGGTATGAGTTTTCAACAGGAGTTTTTCCCAGCACTTACTACTGGTCTCTTCTGGAGGAATTGAAAGTTGTTCTTACAGAAGTATCACTGAAATCGTCTCCATGACAATTAGAAGAGGCAGAGGGAAGCAGAGGAGCCCACAGGTGACAGGAGCTGTGAGTTTTCATGTTCCACCATGAGTTTCCCTCTGGCTCTGACATCTACAGTCTTATGATTAGAAAGAACAGGAATCAGGTATTCAGAATGACAGCAGACAAATAAGTCACTGAGGAATTTAACTCCCAGAATGGAAGGCTCCTGGAGATGGAAGAGGAATAGAATGTGGTGAGCTGTTTGTGGATGCAAGGAAACCCAGAGCGTGTGTGTGTGTGTGTGTGTGTGTCTGGTGTGTGTGTGTGACAGTTGTGCATGGTCTCTGGTACACTATAAGGATACCACAGTGGGAATCTATTTTTGCCTCCATGGTTACACTTTAAGTGATATGGATAATGATTAATCTTAGACATCTACACTTGTGTACTTTCACACTGTGATAGCTAACTCTGTACTGGTTAGACATTAGACCACCATGAAAGCTGAGCTAGCACAGTTTTCAGAATTATCCCTTAGTTAAGTTGAAAAAAAATCTTTCACAATTTCTCAAATTCTTATTATAGGCATGATGTCTCTTCATTCCTAAGTATTCAGTTTTTATTTACCAAAAACATTGATGTGCTTTTAGAAAATCACATTGCAAATTTTAAAATCAGGAAATTAACTTTGACACAGGTATTACCTAACCTGTAGTTAATTCAGATACTGAAAGTTGTTTCAATAAATTCCTTTATAGAAAAACAAAATCCTGTATCACTGTAATTAATCTTTATTATGGGAAATATTTTCTGATCATTGTGATGTTATACACGCCCTTACATGATGCAATCAAAATTAATTTGCAACTTTATGTCATGTACATTTACCACAATAATATAGTCATTAATATATAAGCTACTCACATATAATTTTTAAGCCATAAATTCAATAACTTAATGGCACTTTATAATAGAAGCAAAATTCAAAATAACATAATTTGGGGAATTTTTTACTTTTCATTTTTTTAGTTAACATACATAGCATGTACTTATAAGGACCATGTGATATTTTGATATGTGCACACAATCTACAAAAAACAAAATCAGGGTATTTGTATTTAGATGATATCTAAACATTTATCATTTCCTTGAGTTGGGAAAATTTTAATTCTTTCTTCTAACTACTTTGAAATGCATAAAAAATTATAGAGTTAAACAACTGTGATGTAGAACAATAAAACTTATTCCTCCAATTTAACTATGACTTTGTACTCAATCAACAACCTCTATCTATCCCCCATACTCTTATCCTTCCAGCCCTCAGTAACCACTATTTTATACCCTACATACATTGAAACCAACAGTGTGTAAGAGTTCAACTTTTGCTGTGGGTTTTTTTGTCATTTGAATCCTAACCATTCCAACTTGGGTGAGGTAGCATCTAATTGTGGTTTTGATTGGCATTTTTCCAAATAGCTACTGATGTTGAAAATTTCCTTCATATAAAAAATTTTGGGAGCTGCTTGTGTGTCTTCTTTTGGGAAATTGCTATTTAGATTATTTGCCCATTTTTGATCAGCTTATTCTACCTTTCATGTTTAGTTGTTTGTGTGCCTTATATATTCGGGATCTTAATTCTTTATTGGATAAGTAGTTTGAAAATTGTTACAAAATTTTTATTATTGTTGTACTGGGAGTGCACTGTGGCATTTACAAAAGTTCTTGCAATATATCATTTATTCTTCAGGTTGTCTCTTCCCTTTCTTGACTTTTTCCCTTCTCTATAAGAAGCTTTTGATTTTTATACAATCACATTTGCCCATTGTTGATTGGTTTCCTGTGCTTTTCCTTTCTCCCCTGCATGTTCTTAGCATCTTTGTCAAAAATGAGGTGACTGTAGATGCAAGGGTTTACATCTAGATTCTCTGTACTGTTCCATTGCTCTATGTACATGTGCTTTGTGGTTTTGGTTACTACATGTTTGCAGTGCTTTTAATAGCAAGGAAATAAAATCTTTCTGCTCAAGATTGATGTGCCTAGTTCTGTGGTTCATACTAATATTAGGGTTGTTTTTCCCAGTTTGTAAAGAATGCCATTGGCATTTTGAGAGTTATGGTATTGCTTTCAGGGGTGTGGACATTTTAACAAGCTGATTCTTCCAATCCATGAGCACAGGGTTTCTTTCCATTTTTGTATGTTCTCTTCAATTCCTTTATTAACATTTTACAGTTTTCATTGTAAGTCTATTTCACCTCTTTGGTTAAATTTATTCCTAATTGGTTTTGTAGCTGTTGTAACTGAGATTGTTTCCTTGGTTTCGACCTTGGATAATTAAATTTTGGCATATAGTTTTTTGTACATTCATTTTCATCATGCATATTTGCTGAATGCATTTATTAGTTCTAATAGATTTTTCATGGTGTCTTCTTATATTTATAACATTTTTATCATGCTGAGTGGGGTTACACTGTGGCATCTACAAAAGTTCTTGCAATATATGGTACTAAAATTCATCCCCTCTACCACT